AGTAAGCATTTTCAAGGGAAACTGGGACTACCCATTAAATGAGTAAAATTTTACCCATTTATGAGTAATTACAACTACAAAAGTAAGTAGTAAGTATTCATTTTTGATTTACAAATACTCATATATGGGTTATATTTTTACTCATTTAATGGGTAGTCCCAGCCCCCCTCGAAAATGCTTACTTTGTAGTCATTATTGGGTATTTTGCGGTTACCGTATAGGTCGCATGATTTTGACATTTAAAGCTGAACATTGCATTACACGCTTACTTCAGCTTACTCACCGGGTGAGTCGATCGTACTCAATTTCGTCTGATGCATTAAGTTGTCAAAATCTGAGTAAACAAAATATGTCAAACTGAGTAAAAGCCACTCAGTCAGCCAAATCCGGGACTTCGAAAAAAAAAATGCCGGCCGTGTCGGAGCAAACGCTCTATGAAACGGCGAAATGTATTGAGGTATGTAGGAATTGTATGCGGAGACGGTTTTTAGTCGTCTCCAGCTCCAGTTAAATGAATCTGGAGCAGGTAATTTCCATTTTTTATCAAAACAAATAAAATAAACAAACTTCCCGGCTGAAAATATCACAGAGCGGTTTTGACTCACTCTGCGCGAGAGCATCGTTTACTGAAAAGTGAGTAAGAGTGCGCCTTCTCACTTTTGAGCAGCCATACTTCCCGCTGAAATGAGCATTCGACTCAATTTTGAGTTGTTGCGAGTCACCGTGTAGGTCCTAAGAAACATTGACAGATTGTCTTCGTTGACTTTTTCTTTGTATCCCCCAGGGGTGGGATGTGCAGTCAAATCGGCCTACTGAAAATCGATCAATGAGGTGTAAATGTGAAAGGCTCATTGAGTTTGTCATCTTTTTCGTTCTCCCGCTGTTAAAGCGGTTGAAGGAGTGTAACGCCAAACCTCGTCATCCATTTTATCAGCCGGATAACGAAAGAGACGATAAATTTACTGGGGCTCACTTGTTTACGCTCATTGATTTTCCCTATGTGAATTTGGTTCCAAACATAAACAAACTATCGTTGCTTATGCCTTTGTTGTCGTTTGGAACTAGTTATACGAGGTATGCAACGATTGTTCGTATTCGTATCAGTCATCAGTTATCAAAATCTAACCCCCTTAAGTACTCATTCTCTAGGTAAAAAAGTCAAAATCACAGGTATAAAAATGAAACTAAAATGTGTTGAATCGAAACCTACCTAACTAATAAAAACCAAAGATTTAAGTAAACTAAGATGAGTACTTAAGGGGGTTGGATTTTGATAAGTTCTTTAGTGGGAATGACACTGATGAAGACTGCACATTGTAGTCGAACTACGTATCTGTCATGGATACCAAAATTAATTAAGTGGAATTAAATGGAAGGTAACCCTTTTTTTGCTGTTGTAATCATCCAAACCCCTATATTCATCTCATTCATGTAAGCTATGACGAAATTCTTGATTATTGCCCCTGTGAAAAAATCAAATTCATGCAGGTAGTTGGTCTATCTGTTAAGGCTGTCTTCATTTTCAGCTAGGTTGAGCGTAGAAGAAATGATTCTTAACACCACTGGATAAAAGTCCGATGCACGGTTAGAAGATCAAAGCGTGCGGCGCCGGTAGAGTAGTGGTAAGCGTGATTACCTCTCACCCCAGCAGGCCTGGGTTCAATCTCAGTCAGCGTCGCCGGGATGTTCTGGCATAACATCACCGACAAACCGACATGAATGACCATAGCAAAAACAATAAAATTTCTAACCAAAGCACACTACTGACATCTGGCTCCGTGTTCGCCGGAAATATTTAGCTGAGCCATGAACCCGCATGCAACAGCTATGAATTGGTTCGTGTCTGATCTATTCTGGACAAATTATTTTTTATCTAGATCGAAAATTCCTGTGGTTTTGACAGTTCGGATCACTGCACATTTAAACCGACCGTTTACGATTTACGATTTATATCATGCCGATATAAGCATTAACATCTCCAGAGGATCATCACCCATCGTTTCAAACATGTGCTGCACTCTCATTGGTGGAAAAATGACAGCACAGCGAACAAAAAACTATCGATTAGTTTTTAATCGAGTAATTGAAAAATGGGACATCTCTGATTTTGGTGTGATTGTTTTGATAAAAATGAGCGAAAAATTTCATCTCTACCGAGGGGCAGCAAAACCACAAAATTACTTTGAATACGGGGGGATTCATTGGATGAAAGGGACCATGAAAAAGGACACTAAAATAGAAAGTTTTTCTTCCGACAGTTTCATCTTAGTATTCATCTTTGGTAATGTCCAGGTGTGGCAGCTGCCCCCCTGGCGTCGGTAGCATTGGTGCTCAGCACGGAAAACAAGATCGACGGAAAACAAATCAAGGAGAAAAAAAAAGCTCTGCTCCAATTCATGTCAATGTGGAAATCATTAATAATGTGCTGGAACTTTCAATCAAGCTATATTGCTTGATTGTCACGTATTTAATGAGCTGGAAATGTTTGTAGTATCACTCGGAAATTAAGTATTAATAAATTAAGTAGAGCTTGCACGGAATGTCCCGAATGTAGTCTTGAAATACCTCTTGGCCGTCCGACACAATCCACACACTGTGGAACTCGATTCAGGAAATTCAAGTATCCGTTCGTCACCAATATCACTTTACCGTTAAAAATATCCGGAACAACGCAAAATCCAAAAATTTGAAAAATTTTCGCTTCCATCACAGCACTTTTCGATCCATCTCCTTTGTACCAAGCACTAGTGAAGACTAATGGTAATACTTTCGAGTATGAGTTTCCAGAAAAATCTACCCAAGATCTTTATAGTTTTCAAAATTGACCGCATTACGGAAAGTGGTCAGGTTTTGACCACATATAACTCTGTCAATAGCAGATGGATTTTAATTATAAACAAGCCAATCGATTATGTCCAAATGTTTATTTATTTATTTAATAAGTCATCTGACAAAGCTGTCTTAATGAATAAACTATTCGTCTTAAATAAGGTTCAGTCTTATTACTCTATTCACAAATTGAGGTGTGGACATACCAAAATCAAACCCGGACTCTACGGATACAAGCATACGAACCATTGCACAAATAGGCTGGTTGTAGCCATAGAGAGTACGATGAACGCTCGGTTGCATCAGGGATTGCTGACGTAACATCCTACCTGACGCACGGAAATCAAGCAGTGACAGAAGATGAGAGCAATCGACGTCACCGTTGAGTAATTTAGCTATAAACGTAGCCTGTTGTAGCTTACGTCTTCGATCAAGCATTTCGAGGTCAAGCAGATGGCATATGCTGGAATGTTCAAAGGATTACGCCACGGTAGGTTTCTGAGCGCAAGTCGTATGAATCTTTTTTGCACACGCTCGATTCTTAGATTCCATTGGAGCTCATACAACTGAAGCATTTTCTAGGATTGGCCTTACCAGTGAACAACACAATGCTTTGAGACAGTGTGGATCCGTGAAATCCTTGGCAATCTTAGAGATGAAGCCAAGTTGACGATTAGCCTTGGAAATAATCGAGGCATAATGGGAATGAAAGGAAAGCTTCGAGTCCAATACGACACCAAGATCCGTCACTTGATCCACTCTACTAAGAACAGTATCATCGATGTGGTATTCATAAGTTAACGGGTCCTTGGACCGATAGAAGGTCCTGAACGAACATGTTGAGCAACATTTGCAGGTGAAAACAGTCCTCGATGCAGCGTACCACCTCATAGTTTTTCAGATCAGAATATACGAGCTTGCACTTGTGGCCAAGGGTAGATGCAGCGTCATTGAAGAATCACACAAACAATAACGGTCCCAAATTACTTCCTTGCGGGACACCGGACGTGCTAGCAAATGGCGATGAAACATAAGATCCGTGTTTAACGTACAGCGTTCTGCCGGTCAAGTACGATGACAACCACGACATCAATCGATTTGAGGCTCCCAATCGCGATAGCTTGCAGAGCAACACTTTATGATCAATTTTGTCAAAAGCCGCCTTTAGGTCCGTATAGATTACGGCAACCTGCGCTTTATCTTCCATAGTCGAAAAACAGGTAGTAGTTATATCCAGCAAGTTAGTAGCAACAGACCTACCGGGAATAAATCCATGTTGATCTGACGAAATGTGGTTTTTTGTAGCGCGTAGAATTTGATCACTGACGATAATCTCGAGAAGCTTCGATGCGGCAGAAAGGCTGGTTATCCCACGGTAGTTTTTAACATCTCGTCGGTCACCACTTTTGTGCACAGGAAACATGTGCGATAGTTTCCATCTCATGGGAAAATCACCTAGCTCAAACGAACGGTTGAAAATGAAGGCTAGCGGCTAGCATGAGCAGCGACGGAAAACAGCAGGAGGGATACCATCCGGGCCAGAAGCAAATGAATTCTTCAACTTTTTTGAAGTACCGATGATCATTGCAGATGAAATTTCGAACGTGTCTAAATCGACTGCATCCAGCGCGACATTTGACGCAGCTAGTTCGGCCTCGACGTCGGACGATGACACTGCACAGTGGTCCAGGAGGGTGTTTTTTTAGGTAAAAAATAAAAAAAAAGTGCATAAATAAGCAGTTTAATCAAGTTGGTGTCTTCAGACAAGTTTAGATTTGAAAAAAGGCACATATGATGAAGGGGTCGTCCATAATTTAAATTCATCATACAAATTTCATAAAACTGGCAAAGAGAACACAGAGGAGTGCCTATCCAATATCAGAGTAAGTATGTCCTTTGAGAGGTCACATAGCTAATTCGGATAGTATCGCAATGCGGTCATTGCGCAAAACCTCATCTACATCCAACTACCATAGTGGACGAAAGACATTTGGTCACCGCCTAGCCTAGGCCTATGCCAAACGCCATTTGATACAGTGATATGTTCAAACAATCATTTCGTTGTTGGTATCATTTTTAAAACTGCTGGATCTTTAACTGCATGCAACATATAAAGGCAAACAATCTCCTGCATACGCTAGGTGAAATTCACTGAAAGTATGTATACTTACAGTTGATCCTGTTTTGATTCACCGGTCTTCTTCACAATGCAATGATCTGCCGGCAGAACAAAACTCCTACCAATGAGAACGCCTCCACAATGATAATACAGGGATCTCGTTTTTTCTAAAAAAAAACACACACACACACACACACACCAATGACCATCATGTGTGCAACTCACTTCTAATCAAAACTCACTCTGTTGCTTCAACAGCATTGCCATCCAGGGAAACTCATCGATATCAGCTATTGTACCACCACGAATACGGAAGCTGTACGCCGCTTGACCACACACCGCAGCATCTTCGTAGTCTCCCAACTGGTATCGATCGCTGTCCGAACAGCAAACCTCCGATCCATCGTACCTTCCGCACTGCAACCGCTGGATGAAATCTTCCCGCTCGATCAAATTCAACGCACTGTCATTCACAATCTTCTGATAGGTCACACAGTTCCTGTCTGCCGTGCAATGTCCCGCCTTCAACTGTCCGGGTATGTCACAGCTGATACGTTCCAACGAATCTACAAAACGATACAAACTATGTCCATTCAGCTTCTGGCAGCCCGAACAACTCCCGATCAATCACAAACCTTTATTAAGCACCCTTGAATCAACACTGACTACCAGCAGCATCGTTATCAACTTCAGCAGCAGTAAGGTCTCTGGCACGATCATGTTAACGACTTCTGATTGACTGGTTTGCTTCTTGACCCTTGAGTACACGCAGCGTTGTGGTCGTGGTCGTCGTCACCGTTATAGCTGTATAAATAACACTGCTGCTGTTGATGGCAAAAATTTGCGACTGCGCGGGTTTGTTCGTTGGGCGCGTATGCGAATGCTTTCATCGTGCGCTCTTCTAATAACGAAGAAGCGATGTTTTTTTTATATGTTGATATCGATCGCAGCATCCTGATGGGGAACGATCTGCTGAGATTATTCCCAAAACACTTTCGTGCTGAAAATACTATCAGCAGCAGCAACACGTGCTGCCTCCCAGCCGTGGGAAACTATCCAATACTGGAAAGTGTGAATGACTGAGGTACCTACTGCTGCTTCTTGCAAACTACTCAACCAGCTCGCGTCATACGATAGGATGACTGGACAAGGCAGGACAAACGTTCCAGATGGTATACGGGAGGGGTTTGTTTTTGTTCGTAGAGCACTTCCACGCCAACTGAGAAATCGATTTTATTTTTCACTCTCAGAATTCCATGAAGCTTCGAATAATTGTTCACCAGGGGCAATGCACCAAGTTTGTGGCGGAACACTGCGTGATTCAACGATTAATTTTTCAAAATGGCATATACGATATTTTTCAATAAATCATAGCCTTTTCATAAAAATGCACTCTGAAAAAAAATTAGAATTTTTTTTTTAATAAAAGAATTTTTATTGCAGAAAAACATTTTTAATAATATTGCATTTTCTACGATTTTGGCCAACTTTAAAGTGTCTATTGCATGCATTTCAGAAAAATTAGCTTGTTATTGAAGGTTTTAACAGTTCATTTTTATATTTTTGGCGAAAAGTTTTGATGTTTTTTTTCAGCGTGTATTTTTTATTTTTTTCTAAAAGCCAATCCAGTTTCCTACAACTTTGTCCTAGGCGTCATTTCAAATAGATTAGCCATTTTCATGCTTTGATTTATTGAAAAAAATAATGAATAATCCATTTTGAAAAATTAGACATGAGTCAAAATGTCTGAATTTCAGCACAAACTTGGTTCACTGCCCCTAGAGGAAAATTATGCGAAGTTTCCTCGAATTCTAAAACGTAAAATCTAAAATTTATTATTTTTTTTTCTTTATTTGACCTGGAACTGCTCAGTAGTATTTACGTCTACGACTTTGATGAGTGATTACGCCGCATATTGGACTTCATCGTCTGCGGGTCGTTCTGATTAGGTATGTTTGTGTCGTTGCGTTGAATCGTTACAGCGGGTTTACCGGATAATTCAAAGAAAGCATTTCCGGTAGTTTACTGGCAGGATTTGCTCGAATTATATGTCGCTATTGGCAATTAACGGCTAAAGGCGAGTAGACATATTCATTGGAACTGGTCTTAGAAAAGTAAGTGTTGCATTACGGGTACGCTTTGTGCCAGGTAGTCTGCATTGAAGTTGGGATTCCCAGTGATTTGGTTTGACCCAGTTTACAGCTGGTTAACAACTCTGGAATTCCGGTCAAAACTGGTTGGGCGGTGGTTGTGTAAAAGATCGAATTATGTTGCAATATTGTTTTCGACTAGGCACAGCGTTTAAAAAAAACATAAATCAGCATTGTTCAATCTTTTAAATTTGTCGAACCTCTTAACGGAATCCCTTTATGAAGAGCTTTGAGTGTGTTGGTTTATTTCCTTTAAATTCCGTTATAATTGCTTATTTTTTGACAGATACGCGTATTTCGTCTACTACTTGCAGACTTTATCAGGGCCACGTACTCAACATCACTAAATCAGCAATGTTGTATACAGGATTGTAAATAACTCCGATTCCGAATAATATGCATATTATAATTTATCATGAGGGGAGATTTCGCGTTGGTTGAAATTCAGAATTGTTTACTGAGAATGAACTATGAGTGATGGCAGCAATGCAAAACAATCATTTTTTCCAGTTAACAATCCGGGTGGTGGAATCACTGAAATGTGGAAGCGACCCCGGCATCCATATTTCTCAAGTCACGACTAACCTAACTTAAATCCAGAACTTAATAATTGGCAATCTCCATACAAAGAGGTAGCCAAAGAGTGCAGTTTTGAACCCCTTCGGATACGGTTGTGTTTTAAATTTGCTCTCTGTTTTGTGCGTACGTTCGTTTTCATAGTTTTCGACTGCATTTGCCGGATTAGCGCTGGCACTCTGCCTCCCAGACGTGTGTGATTGGTAGTTTTCTCGCTTTCCGGGAAGTTTTAGAATCGAGAAAGAAAACTTGATTCATCATGTTTGCAAGCTTCAGAAGAGATGTCGTTATCTGCGTTGTTTATTTTTTTCTCCCGGACCAGAAATTTGTGGCATCCTTAGGACAAAAAATAAAATTTCTAACTTTTTTTCTATGCGTTTTAGAAAAATAAAATGTTCCACAAAGTTGTAGACCTTATCATTTCCACAAACTTTGCTAAAAACATCAATGGTTTAAATCATGGACCCAAAGGGTAAGGACCTCCTTCACGCGATTTTTTTTTTGGTTAACCTAGCTGTTTTTTTTAGTGTACCTGGTGCACCCGGTACTAGAGCAAAAGACAGCAATTTGTACCAGAACAGGTGTCAAAAGTGACACAGACAGCTCAACTGCCAGCAAAAGCGCCAGCAAAAAAAAAAGAGCGGTACTCGCTGCCGTGGCCAGCGCTGCCATTTATACAGATTTATCTGTATTATACAGATTTTTTAATCTTAACACAGACCCGATAAAGAATACAGATTTATCACAGATTTTTAAATTACAATACAGATTTATACAGATTGTTATAAAATGCTTGAGAAAAAAAAAATCTATATCAAAATAAGTTATCAAGCAGTTCTCACTAATATCAATATATGTTATAATTTTCATATTCTTCGCATTTCTTTTAGCTCTCATTTTTGTTCTGTTAGCCATCAACTTCATCAAAATAAAATCAATGTGAGTTATCAGGAATAATGAAAACAACATAATTCTTGTTTTAATTTTGTTCTCACCCTCTGCTCGGGAACCTATCAAATTTCCATCGACAATTAATCATGTTATGGTGTTTTTGACAGCATTCACAACCAGAGGACCAACCGCTTTCGGATGCATATGGAGCTGGTAGTAAACGATTTGAGATTGTATGGGGATTTACAGTATTAATTGAATATTTACAATATAAGCATGTATGTTAAATACAAGAAAAGTGCCCGAGCACATTAAAATGGTACAAATACAAGTACTCGTAAACATTTTACTTGCATTGAAAATGTATTTCGTAAGAAATTGCGGATTTTCTGATATTCTCCATACTGCAAAAATGATTTTACCAGCACTGGCGGGGCGACATCTCTCGACTTTTCGGTGTAACTACCACACAATACTACAATAGATCAAATTACTGGTCGCAGTGGTTTTATGTCCCGAACAGAGGAAAAAAAAAACTACCACACAAATGATGTAATTCATTGTATTCTTCTATATTAAAAATATCAAATAGTAATGAACTCGTGCACTTTTTTGCATTTAAAACTGCTTATCTGGAAGATAATGAATAGAAACTAAAATCTCCATACATTTTCAAACGGCTTCATATCACTCTTATAAATAAGTACGGACGATATCACAAATGGCGCAATTATATCCCGTATGGTTAGTACGATAGCCCGAATAGGTGGTTAAGCACTTTTTATGGTTATTTTGTATGCACTGTATTTGTAAAACAACAAAACATGATTAATTAAGAAAAAAATCGTCAATACAGAAAATACAGATTTTTTAATAGAGTGGATACAGATTTTTTTTATAAAACCACCTGGCAGCTCTGGCCGTGGCAGTCAGATTGAGCACGTTTCTTTTTGTTTCGCCATTTTGTTTCGGTGATAATTGAAAATTATTTTCCCGTGGTACTCGTTCCGGTGAGCGTTCTGGTTTGTATAACGGTGCTGATTCCAATTTTGTGTACGAACAAGTTCGAGTTAGCTGATTTGTTGTCCACGGTAAATGAATGTCGGAAGCTACCACTACCGGAAGGAACCGCCAAATAAGAATTGAAACACCATTTTGAACCAGCCGTGGCAGTCAGATTCGAGGCCAGATTCCTCATACAGCCGTTATCGATTGCATAACAAATTCCTTCTCCTTGAGAATTGCTTCGACGATATTTTACTTCTTGTCGTGGATCGAAAAGATCCAACGCAGTTGAACCGATCTGTCCGAGGATGTCGGAGAAACACAAATTAGGTTAGATAATGGGGTAAAGCTTCACCCAGAGTACCATCCCTGATAAATTTGCTTTCCTCGTACAGTGTCCAGCAGGGCAAGGGATTGATTCTCGCCGTTTCTGATCTACTCTTCGTACTCCTTGCGTTACAAGGCGCAAAGCAAGTAAACATCAAGCTATTCGTTTGGAGCTGCACTTGCGCATCGGAATATGGACCCAAAGGGATGAAGAGCAGATTCAAAATCAGCACTAACACGCTCCTTTCAACCAGACCAAAGATTCCAATGCACACATCTGGTCTTCCGCCATCCACCGTGCAACTTCGTTCTGATAGGTATCTGTAAACTGGCTCATCAGGTAGAGGTAGAGGTAGACAATCGGATCCGAAAGAATGGAAGGCTATGCGGAAGCATAGAAGAATGGTAGGCGGCAGCAGTACAGTATCGGATATCACACTCCGAAAAACTTCCTGCTATCCAACGACGATTACCGGAGGCGGTGGATTCAGGGTGATGGTATTTCCTGCTGTGCACAAAACGACAAAAAATAGGAATTTTCTTGGATGCTGAATAGGTGCGCGTACTTACCAAACCTCCCGGATATCGATCCGAAATGTCCCACAGGGTAGTTTCTCATAGTTGACAATTTTGCTCAACATCAACAATGACATTAATCCTAGCTCTGAAGTTCAGGTTAGGAAAAAAGTTAGGTTAAAACAAAACGTCAGCTATTGTTGGTAAACAAACCGACAGCATTGTTGATAGCATTCCCCCATGCACTCAAAAATATAGCTACCCACAAATCTAAAAAACCTACTACTGCGTGCACTTCCATTCTATTACCGAGAATCA